GGGGGGGGGGGTTCTAAGAGAGCAGGACCGGGATTCGGAAGAGATAACTGTGCCCACTTACCTTGGGCACACACACATACAACAATCAATATATTATTTTAATGCAATATTTTGAAAGATCAAAATTAGTGCCAAAAATCTATGATGAACAAAATATAAAATTTTTAAGTAAAGACAGGATCAAAACCAGTGCCACTCAAAGCCATGTGGGAGCCACAGGAAAAAGGAAAAATCAGTCATTGCGATCCTGAGGCAAGTTCCTCTCTCACCTCATCCTGCAAGAGATTAATTGGAAGCTTGCAAGATCTCTTGAGATTCCATGACTGGCACACATTAATTACCATAACACTCTATTGGCCCAAGCAAGTCACAGGGTCAACTCAGTTTCCAGGGATTGGAAAAAAACAACTCCTCTTAATGGGAGGAGCACAAAACCATGTTTCAGAAGGTCTGAAGAGCTGGAGAATTTTTGCAAGTGTCCATTCCTTCCATTGGCAGCACAGAAGAGGCAGCACCGGCTCAGGTTTGCTTTCACTCCACCAGCACAAGAGGCTGAATGAGACTGTTTTCTAAAGCCCTGTCCTGTGTTCTTTGTACCTGTGAGATTTTGATTTATAGAGACAACTGAGTGATGACATGAAGAGGTTAATGGCATTGAAAGAACTTTTTATCACCTGGCAGGGCATGGCTCAGCAGATGAGCATCGACCTAGGATCCAGTTCGATTCCCGGTCAGGGCACATGCCCGGATTGCGGGCTCAATCCCCAGTTGGGGGCGTGCAGGAGGCAGCCGATCAATGACGACTCTCTCATCATTGATGTTTCTCTCTCTCCTTCTCCCTTCCTCTCTCTGAAATCAATAAAGATATATTTAAGGAAAAAAAAGAAAATAAAGTTTTTATCACTTACAGTCTCCAAGAAAATGGAGCATGCAGGGCCACATGGGGAAGCACCAGGCTGGTAAGGAAAGACTGGGGAACTACCACAGATTGGCGGAAACTAAGGCAACATGACCAGTGAGTGCCATGTGGGATCCTGGATTGGATCTTGGAACAGAAAAAGAACATTAGTGGAAAAACTGGAGAAATTAAAAATCGTTTGTAGTTCATTGTATTGTACCGATGTTAATTTCCTAGTCTTAATTATACTATGATTATGTAAGCTGTTAACACTAGGGGAAGCTGGGTAAAAGGTATAAAGGAAACACTAACATTTTTGCAACTTTCGTTCAAGTCTAAAAGTAGTTAACAATAAAAAGTTAATAACAGCCCTGGCCAGAGTGGCTCAGTTAGCTGAGCATCGTCCTGTGCACCAAAAGGTCAAAGGTTGAATTCCCAGTCAGGACACATACCTAGGTTTCAGGTTCAATAGATGTTTCTCTCTTTTTCTCTTCCTCTCCCTTACTCTTTCTCTAAACACACACACACACACACACAAAACCCAAACAAACAAAAAAATCAAAACATTTTTTTAAAAAGTTAAAAATATAATTATAAGGAAGAGAGCAATGTTGTTTCAAAAAATTAAGGGTTTAGAATGGGAAAGACAAGGTCTCCTGGGGTTGCTGTGTAGGTGTTGCTGTGGGGAGGAGGGTGCAGAGCGGTCCATCTAGACACATTCAGGCTCTAGATTCAGTGGCTCCTGGATCTACCTGAAGGAGAAGCTTAGGGTGGGGACTCAGTGGGGGCGGGAGCCATGCAAAGGCTCCTCCCAGCGGCAGGAGTGCTTGTGTCAGCACAGCATCTGGGTTTCTACCTGCTTCAGCTCAGGTGGCGCTGGGAAGAAGGCACCTGTCCCACTGGGGTTCTGCCTGGCGCTGTCCTCTCCTCTGCAGGCCGGCATGGCTCAATGCTTGGGGCCTGCGCTGCTGCTGCTGCTGCTACAGCTGCTTCTGAGTGAGTGGTAACCCCTTCCCCGGGATCCCTGAACCCTGGCCTCTCTGCCTCAGATGCTCAGGAACAGGGTAGAGGGCAACCGGATGATTCAGGAGAAGCTGGAAGGCAGGAAGCGGTGCCAGTGAGAGGCCTGTTCTTGGGGTGCGGCAACATCTGGCAGTCTGCGCCGCAGTGCTCTGCTCATCCTGTCTCCTTCCTTCGGGTCTGAGCCCCCCCCCCCCC